TATTATTATTATTATTAAATATATTTTTATTGATTTCAGAGAGGAAGGGAGAGGGAGAGAGAGAAACGTTAATGATGAGAATCATTGACCGGCTGCCTCCTGCATGCCCCCTACTGGGGATCGAGCCTGCAACCCGGGCATGTGCCCTGACTGGGAATCGAACCGTGACCTCCTGGTTCATAGGTGGATGCCCAGCCTATTTGTGGTTGAAGCTTCATACTTTGGGTGGATCTGACCATATCATTCTTAAGTCAAAATGCAGAGTGCTACAAAAACAATGTTGGGCAGGGGGCAGCGTCCACATGGAGATACTGGAGGCAGTCAGGAAGTGGTCCCAGAGAAGTGGAGGTGAGGATGGTCTCTAGACTTTAAGCTGCTCTGAGACCCTTTCCCTGGTATAAGAACTGTTGAACGGCATCTGCGGACGTGGAGCATACTTTGACCTCACTTGATGCATGACCCCTTGAAATCTGGACACGCTGTATTTCTCTCCTGTAGCACCCCCCTCCCTGTCATTCTCCACGTCAGACTGGGAGCTCCTTGTGAGCTTGCTGCTCACTGCTGCACCCCGAGGGCCAAGCACGCAACAGGTGCTCATATATTTGTTGACCGAAGAGAGGAAAGTGCTCTGGAGCCATCAGATGATGGGCCACCTCCCCCTGGCTGGTCTCTTTTCTATGACATACAAATAGTCACTGCCCATAAGCCAGTTTCTTTATCTGACTTTTTTTTTTTTAGCAAATTCCCTTTGGGGGAAAAAAAAGCCCAGTACTTCTTTTTATTATTATTATTATTAAATATATTTTTATTGCTCTGCTCAAGACGGGCTGTGCTGTTCTCTTTCAGGCCAAGCTACACCGAGCCATGGAAATGTCCAGCAATCTGGAGAAGGAGATCCTGCTGAGACACGAGCTGCTTGAAAAAATTGAAAGAGAAATCCTACAAGTGGAGGAGGTAAGAGAGGGTTAAATGTGCCACTTCTGGTGTTTGCAAGGGCTGGAGTCATTGTCCACCAAGATCCAAGCCACCTGGATTTTTTATTTTTAATTCTCACCAGAGGATATTTTTTCCATTGACTTCTAGAGAAAGTAAAAGGAAGGGGTAGGAAGAGAGAGAGAGAGAGAGAGACACACAGACGAGGGACACACAGAGAAGTGGAGGTGAGGATGGTCTCTAGACTTTAAGCTGCTCTGAGACCCTTTCTCTTTGCAGCTGCCTGGATCCGCACAGGTGCATTCTCACTGCTCCCCGGAGGGGAGACGCCTCCCTCTGAAGCAGAGTTTCCCAGCCTCAGTGTTACGGACATTTGGGCCAGTTCATTTTTTGTTGGCGGGGGGGCTGTCCCACGCATGAAAGGGTGTCTGGCCCTGGCCGGTTTGGCTCAGTGGATAAAACGTGACCTTGTTGGAAATAAGGATCTCTGCAGATGTAATTAGTTCAAGATCCTGAGGTGAACTCTTCTTGGATTTAGGGTTGGCCTTGAGTCAAATGACTTCTGTCCTTGTAGGAAGAGGCGAGGACACACATAGGCACTAAGAAGAAGACATTGAGCATCGATCCACCCTGGAACCAAGAAGTCGATTCCAGGTCAGGGCACATGCCCAGGTTGTGGGCTGGATTCCTAGAAGGGGGCGTGCAGGAGGCAGCCAATCCATGCTTCTCTCTCTCTCCCTCTCTCTTCCTCTCTTTCTAAAAATCAATAAAAACATTTTAAAAGAAGAAGAAGACGGCCATATGAACATGGAGTCAAAGTCAAGAAATGACAAGGATTGCCAGAAGTCACAGGATTCTCTCCCAGAGCCTTCGGAGGGAGTGTGGCTTCGCCAACACCTTGAATTCGGACAGTGCCTTTCTGTGGTCTTAAGCCACCCCATCTGTGGTTGTTACAGCAGCTTTGGGAAACTAATACCAGCGCAACCTCTGGTCTCTGTCTGCTAGATGACAACCCGCCCCCCCACCTCGGTTATAACAAACAAAAATGTCTCCAGATCGTCCCTCCCCTAGGCCCTACCCCCAGCCACTGCTCTCACAGGGTGGACAGGACGAGAAGAAAGAGCCGAGTGGGATGAACCTGGGCTAGAATTCCAGCCCCACCCGGAATAGCTACGTGACCTGGAGAAAGTTGCTCAACTTCTCTGCAGCTCTGTCTCCTCCCGAGTGACATGGGGGTTGAGAAGGTACCAGCATCTCCTCGAACCACCAGGCCGATGCCGTGAGATAAGATGTGGCGCGTAGGTAGTGCTCAGTAAATAGAATCCCAAACAACTGTTGTTATACGTGTTTTTATTGAGCAACAATATTACCTGAGTGATGGTAAATATGTTAAGGAATAACAATGGCAATTGGCAGTGTTGTTCTTTAAAGCTCGCAAGCTGAGTCAGGTTTCCACGTGATCATCCACTGTGAACGGCTGCCAAACCGACGGGCCGGGAGCTGCCTCTCAGAAGGCATGACATTTCCTGCTGTGGACCGCGTGTCTTTCCCCACAGTTCCAGGTATTGCACTGTAATTCCCCTGGGCCTTCCTTAAAGCTGTGTTGGAATGAACCCCGTGAGTCACAGAAGGACGACTCACGAAGTTGTATTAAAGAGTCACATTTATTGCAATCCGGGACTATGAGGGGTCATTCCCAGATCTCATGCGATAAGATGGTGGCAAAACCAGACTTATAGAGGCAAAGATCACAAAGGCATTGACTACATCTCAAGGTTTGGAATGAGGAACCTGGTTTGCAAAAAGCTGTTTACAGAAGCAGAAGCAGCATGTTATCTAAATTACAGTTTTGAGTCTCTGGATCACTGAGTTGCCAGGAATTCATTATCTAGAGCCCTCAGGTCTTGAGACCACTGAGTTGCCAGGAATTCATCACCTAGAGCCATCGAGGCAATTTATAGTAATTGTGCTATCCTGGTCTTGGGACCACTGAGTCCACTGGAACGCATTATCTGTGGCCACTAAAACAATTTAGGATAATTGTGCTGTCCTGTTTCCCAGGTACAGAAGAATGTGTTTTCTTAAACCAGTAAGATAACAATCAATGGGATAGTCATTCAATCGAATGGGATGATGTATACAATTCAGAAAATCAAAATAACTTTTCTATTGTTAAGCAAAGCAAATAGGTACCATACTTCAGCTGCACGCTACATCTTTTCCCCGTCCCTCTTGGGACTGGCATCCATTTGTATGCCCAGGCCCACGAGCATGCTAAGTATTTCTAAAGGTGGTCTGCACTGCTCCCAGAGCCCAAAGAGCCCACCACCAGAGAGAAGAAGGCGGGGCAGGGCTCAGGCTCTCTATCATCTTCAGTAATCCACTCTGGTCCCAAACTTGTGCCCCCTAAGCAGCAAAACAAAAGCATTTGGGGTTTAGTGACTATGTGATCCTCGTGGGGGAAGGTGGCCGACCCTCATCCTAAGCAGTTTATACCAGCTGCTTCCTGCTCACATCCAGCACCCCTCCCCCACCCCTCAGAGACGTTTGCCCATCCTGCCCTCTTCTATCCCAATGGGGGCAGAAGAAAGCTAACCTGCTGTTCACCCAGGCCTGCCATGACCATGACGCACATCAGTGTAGAAGTTAAGAACTTGATTCCATTCATTTAAAAAAATTATTTTTTATTGATTTCAGTGAGGAAGGGAGAGGGAGAGAAAGGAACACCAATGATAAGAGATCATCATTGATCAGCTGCCTCCTGCACACCCCCTACCCAGGATGGAGCCTGCAACCCGGACATGTGCCCTTGACCGGAATCAAACCCGGGACCCTTCAGTCCGCAGGCCAAGGCTCTATGCACTGAGCCAAACCTGCTAGGGCTTGATGCCATTCTTGTGTGTCCATGGGCAACTCACCTAATCTACTCTATCCCTCCGTTTCTTGGTCTGTAAGAGGAAGACAGTAATACCAATTCCTTAAGACGTTTGAGGCTTCGATGAGATGATAACTACGAAGCGGTGTGAGGCATCACCTCTCGGGTTGCAGCGAGCTGATTTGGGAACTGTTTGCACCATTTCACTGGAAACTCCTTGAGGGTGGGCGTGGTGTGCTCCACGCAGTCCCCCGAGCTGCTCAGGGCACATTCCGTGCCTAAAGGTCTCTTGAATGTATATTCATTTAATAACCAGCCAGGTTGTTCTTTTTTTCCTTTCAGGAATGCAGGATACTGGTATCTAAGAGAAAGTGCAGTTCGTATGCAAGAAGCCCCAGGTGGTGAGCAGAGCAGAAGCCTCACAGCGAGGTAGAGGAAGGAAAACACTCCAACAAGCGGATTTCACTTCCTGCGTCTCCGTTTCCTCGTTTGGAGAGTAAAGAGAGTCGTGGATATTATTACAAGGCTGCTGCAAAGGTGGCAAGGGCATAGTAAGTGCTGGAGAAACAGCCCTTACTCTTATTATCATCCTAAGAATTATTGTTGAGGAAGTAAAAGCAAACGCGCGAAGGTGCCTGGTCAAGGCAGCGCGGAGATGGGCGGGGGGGCGCTGGGCGGGGCCTCTTGAAGCCACGCCCCTCCACGCCCGCGTCCGGTCGCTAGGCAACGCACTGCCTGGTTGCAGCCAGAGCGACGCGTAGCCGCCAGCACCGGGCGCTCTGGGTTGGCCACACCTGACGTTGGCAAGGGCCGCTTCGTTAGCGTGATGACTGACGATGACACCGACACGACTGTCAGCGAATTTCAGATCGCGGAGGAGAACGAGCTGCCTGTTATCCAGCTGTTCAGCCTGGTCGAAGAGCTCAGGTACGAGCCCCGCTGGCTTCCGGGGCGGCCCTTACCATGTGGCCTTGGACCGCAGAGACGGTCAAGACCGCATTGAGCCCTAGCCGGCTTTGCTCAGTGGATAGAGCTACAGACAGAAAAGTTCCAGGTTCTATTCTGGTCAAGGGCATGTACTTCGGTTGCAGGCTCAATCCCCAGCCCCGTTCAGGAGGCAACCAATATCATCAGGTGAGGGTTAACAGAAAGAAAGAAAAAAGGAAGGAAGGAAAGGAGGGAGGATGGGAGGGAGGGAGGGAGGGAGTAAAAAACAAATCAAATACATAGATAGTACTTACTATGTGCCAGGCATTGTCCTGATGGCTTTACATTCCTTACTGCAACCCTAAAAGGTAGGTGCTGTTATTATTCCCATTTTACAGATGAGGAAACTGGGGCATTAAGAGGTTAAGTATCTTGTAGAAGGCCATGCCTAGCTAGGAAGTGCTAAATACTATTGATTTGGTGTTGACATACCTACTAATGGAACTTACTCAGGTACACTCTGTCTTGCAGCTATGGAAACTCTGCTCTCAAAACGGAGACAGAGATGTTTCAGAAATATTTAAATAAACTGGAATCCAGGGAACAGCGAACGCTGCGGTTATCTGACATTAAAATATCAGGAACAGAGTTTTCACAGGTACACAACTGAAGAGTTGTTTTATTCAGTTTGTCCCTTTAGACGCTAAAGTTTAGAGGCAAGTGGTATTTGTGCATCTGCCTTTGGTGTACCGCCTTTGGCCAAGTCAAGGACATATGACTCTGTCCCTGTTCTTATTTTGATTCTTTCTTCCTTCTCAAGGTTTCTCTTTTAAGTCAGTGTGAAGGCAATCAGGTTTAATTAATAGTGGATTGACACTCCCAGAATATATCTTAGTTTGTTTGAAATAGTTCCCTTAAGTTGGGAGACTCAAAATGTTTACAGGGCCAAGCAAGGCACAGAAAGAGGTGAAGTGGGTCTGTGTGGGCACTGGAAAGTTCCTTCCTCATCTACAAGGGCCAACCAAGTGGCCTGGGGTTGTCAAGAGTAGTTGATTTTTCAAGAGGAGCTGGAAATCTGAATTATTTTGGTGGAATTTCCTGATTTTCAAGTGTGGGTCATTAATTTTTTAAAAAAATATTTTTATTGATTTCAGAGAGGAAGAGAGAGGGAGAGAGAGAGAGAAAAAAAACACATTAATGATGAGAGAGAATCATTGACCAGCTGCCTCCTGCATACCCCACACTGGGGATCGAGCCTGCAACCCAGGCATGTGCCCTGACTAAGGAATTGAACCGTGACCTCCTGGTTCATAGGTTGATGCTCAACCACTGAGCCATGCTGGCCGGGCTAATTAATTTTTTTTTTAAATTAAAAATCATGTGTAAGCCTATCCTTTGAGAGCCAAGCAATCCCATCTTGAGGTCCACATATTTCCTCGGCCACCTGCGTATGACCCGTGGCTCAAATGCAGAGGAGACCCAACATTTTTGTGTCTTTGTTTGTTTTTGCTGACTCCTGTCCCCCCGGATCCAATTTCTCTTCTGTGTTCAGCTCAGGAAGCTCTGAACTCCAGGCTTTCCTTGGCACGGACTTGAATGCTAGTCCAGAGCAGGTTCACTCACCATCTCTCCATCCTGGGGACACTGGCCCTGATTCATTTTCAGTTCCTCGTCAAGCTGAGGCCTCAGGTTGGCTGGTGAAATAGGTGTCACCTCCGGCCTAATATCCAGAGTCCTCTCACTTGGAGTTTGTTCTCTCCGGCTGTCATTCAAGCACTTTCTAGCAGGTCAGAGAGGTCATGTCCGTGCCCACCTTCAGCTGCTCGATGACCAACGCCTTCGTGACGGCGGCTTTGTTTTTCCTGAGGGATAGATGCGAGGCAGGCGCAAGTCCAAATCCCGCTCGGGCCCGGACCGCACGTCCAGCCTCAGCGTTGACCAAAAATGCGATCTCGTGCGAAAGGAGCTGGAAGACACGAAGGAGGAGATAAGGCACCTGAGGGCCAACGCCGAGCGGGACCTGCAGCATCACGAGGTAACCCCTTCTCCCTGCAGGCCCCCCGACTGGGGCTCCCTCCGCCCGGCCATCTTACAGGACATACCTATGGGATGTTCTAGTGATTGCACTTTGAAAGAAATACAAGTCGATTAAGACAAATTGAGGCCCTACCTTTTTTTTTTTTTTGTCTATTGACAAATGATGGATTAGGTTAATTTATTTTATTTTGTAAAAATGTTTTTACTAGTATTTATTTATTTGTTTATTTTTGAGAGGGAGGAAGGGAGAGGGATAGAGAGATAGAAACATTGGTGAGAGAGAAACATCAACATCGATCTGCTGCCTCCTGCACGCCCTTCACAGGGGATCGAACCATCAACCCAGGCATGTGCTCTGACCGGGAATCGAACCTGCGGATCTCTTGGTTCCTGGGCTGATGCTCAACCACTGAGCCACACCGGCCGGGCTTTTTATTATTTTTTAAATCCTCA